CAGGGACAGGGGGCATATGGCAGGAGGAGGGGGACGGGGGTCGGGGAGCGGAGCCTCCTGGGGGGAGGCAGGTTCCCCTCGGCGGGAAGGCACTGGGGCCCTCGCACACCCGGGGCCGAGGCCTGGCTCGGGGAGCAGCGCTCCCCTCCCGCCGGACATCGCATCTCGGCTGGCGAGTAGCGAGGCAGGTGGCTCCTGGTTCCTTTTCTGCACCCCTTCTCGTCCTTTCCCGACGTTCCTCTCCCTTGGAGAGGCCGTCAGGCTTTTGGGCTGCATTTTCCCTCTCTGGATCCTCTAGACTGGTGGACTGTTGACCCTTTTGGAGAAGGCACAGGCACGTTTTCTTACCGCCCTGTGTTGTGCACCAGTACATATGCAGATTTTACCGTATTCACATTTTTATATGTGTAAATTATGCATATTTATGCTATAGTGAATGTATGAATATTTTTTTCCAATAAATAACATTGGTATGTACACACACACCTTGTTAAATGTACCTGTGAAAGTTAAGATGTAAGATGTAGATGTAAGTAGATGTAAGACGTGTGTTTTACGTAGACCATCTCACAGCACACCTGGAGGATGTAGTGAATGTATTGATCTGCATGTGGAATTGAACTTTTCCACATCCCTGCCTGCTGTGGTTTAACCCCAGATACCAACTAAGTAGCATGAACCCACTCACTTGGACACCCTCACATACCACCACTCTCTCGGTGGGGTGGGAAAGAGAATTGAAAAAAAACCAAAAAAACCATGGGTTGAGGTACAAACAGTCTTATAGTAGAAATAAAATGGATGATAATAATATAAAATTATTTGTAATGAAAATGGAGATAACAAAAAGAGAGAGAGAAATGGAACCCAAGAAAGATAAGTAATGCACAGGACAATTGCTCACCACCCCCTGAGTGATGCCCAGCTCATCTCTAAGCAGCAGTTGGCTCCTCCTGGCCAATTCCCTCCCACGTTCATTCACTGAGCATAATGACCTATGGTATGGAATATCCCTTTTGCCAGTTCAGGTCAGCTTGCCTGGTCATGTTTCTTCCCAGTTTTTTATGCACCTGGCAGAGCACAGGAAGCTGAAAAGTCCTTGTCTTGAGGTAAGCACTAGTTAGCAGCAACAAAAGCATCACTGTTTTATCGACGTTATTCTGACCAGGTTTGCTTGGCAAGGTTTAGGTAGTGAGGGGTTATAGGGATGGCTCCTGTGAGAAGCTGCCAGAAACTTCCTCTGCGTCCAGCAGAGCCAAGGTCAGCTGGCTTCAAGGCAGCTTGATGCACCCATCAGCGATGGTGGTAGCACCTCTGAGATAATGTACTTAAGGTTAAAAAGTTGTTGCACAGCAGAAGAGAGAACTGAAAACAGCCCTGCAGACACCAAGGGTCATCGAAGAAGGAGGGGCAGGAGATGCTCTAGGTGCAGGGGCAGAGGTTCCCCTTCAGCTCCTGTGCAGAGCATGGTGAAGCAGCTGTGCCCCTGCAAGCCTGTGGAGGATCACAGTGGAACAGAGATCCACCTGCAGCCCAGGGAGGACTCTACACTGCAGCAGGTGGGTGCCTGAAGAAGGCTGATCCCGTGGGAAGCCCACGCTGGAGCAGGCTCCTGGCAGGACCTGTGGGCACACGAACAGAGCAGCCCATGTTGGAACAGGTTTGCTGGCAGGACGGACTTGTGACCCCATGGGGAAGCAGCCTGTTCCTGAAGTATACGGGGGAAGAGTGGGACTGTGGGGAATGAATTCAACTACTCAAGTGCTTTGGATTATATTGGTTACCATCTATTAACTTTCATCAGAATGGTAAATGTTTTCTTGTGCCTATAAGGAGTAAGAAAAAACACTTTACCTGTGTACCACAGCTCTGTATGACTGGGGTCTGTATGTTTTAGTTACCGTGCTTTTAAATGATGTTGAGATCAATACATGCTTTAGAAGATGAGGCAATCACAGATTAGTGTTATGTATATATTAACAAACAAATGCACTCTCTCTTTAGCATTGATCTCACTGCAGATGCAACTACAAGTAATGCCAGTGTCAATAGTGAAGACTCGCAGCAAAAAGAGGATGACAGCAACTTCTCGCTGATCACCTGGAACATTGATGGGCTGGATCTAGGAAATCTGCAGGATCGAGCTAGAGGAGTCTGTACATACCTGGCATTGTAAGTACAGCCTCCTCTGTACTGTCATGTACCTGGATTCAACAATAACAACAACAACAAAAGCTTCTTGATTCAAGTATTTACAAATCTTCATGCCCCAGTTATTGTAATGTTGGATGCAACAGATCAATCACTGTTTAAATCCTAAATAGCTGAGAGTTGTTATACTGACTGTAAGAGGTGTGAACCTGTGCAGTATCCCAGAGGTTAAATATTTTGAGATGGCTACTTTAAAAGTCCAATAATGAGCAGTATTGTTCAAGTGCAATTGTACATCATGAACATAATTCATAATTGCATCCTGTACATGAGAATCTTCCGGAGAACGCATCCCAAAGCTACTTTGGAGCTGCTTAAGTTGAATTCCTCATGTGTGGTATATGAAACCTGCAAGGCTGTGGTACAAGGAAGTCATGCATTTTACTGCCACGTCAGTTTCATGTTGATAATAACAGTTGTTTCCTCCCTTTTAGTAATGGTGGTGCTAAATACAATGCAGATAGTTTTTTTCATTTCTAAAGAGTAGATTCTTACAAAATGTAGGAAAATGAGGGCAAGGTACACCTGAAATCACTCACTTTGTTCCATTTGGCCTCAGAGTGTTGCAGTACTACTTCTCAGTAATTAATTGAAATTTTTCTTGCCTTGCTGATTTCAGATACAATCCGGATGTCGTGTTTTTACAGGAGGTCATCCCACCACATCTCCCTTTTCTCCAGAAGAAAGCAAGCAATTACACTATTATTCCAGGCAAGAAAAAACTGTCGGGTGCTAAAGACAAAAAAACAGAAAATAAAGTTTGGGTTTATTTTGTCTCCCTTGCCAAAACCTCTGACCGTTTTAAAGACTATAAAGAGTAAAGTGAAGAAGGAAGCACTCAATGTTTCTGTGTTTTGATCTCAGCATATATCTTGATGCAAATTATGCATGTGAAAAACTTGCTTCTCTGGCATTTGCTTTTGTAATTTTTTTTTGTATTTTGAAAGATTGGTACCAAGGGTAATCAAAAAGTACTAGAGATAAGTAATTTTTTAAGTATTTGCATTTAAAAAATCTGAAAAGTTCAGATCTTTATAATGCAACTTTTTACTTATGATTTAATAATCAACATATTCTCACAGGTAGTGGTAAAAAGGTCTCTTTCAGAACCTTAGCTGCTTTATGGCAGTTCTGTTGTGGCACAGCAGAAGATGTCCTCAAACATTTCTTTCCTTGTCTTCTTTAGGTAACATAGATGGGTATTTCACTGCCATAATGTTAAAGAAATCAAGAGTGAAGCTGCTGAAACATGAGGTAGTGCCTTTTCCAACAACTGCCATGATGAGGAACCTTTTGGTTGTGCATGTGAGTCACAATATACTAAGCAGCTGTACTTCTGCCTTTCAAGCAAAAAATCTCAGGAAAGGAGATTGGACTGGCTTTTTCTCTAGGACAGTCTCAAAGAGCAGAAAAACTTCTCCTCCAAGCATATAAACACAGTTTATAAACTGACAAGTCTTTTATGCATGTTACTTGTGATCTTTTGTTTTCAAGCCTCATAATCTCTGAAAACAGAACTAAAAGCCTGTTATCCTTCTGTAAGCCCCTTCAATGTAAAACTAGTATTAACCAGAGCTCTGTCATTCAGTCACTTCTTTGTGATTAGATTTTGTCTTTGAGCTTGTTACTGTGATGTGGAGAGTAACACTGCCTCTTTGTTTCATAGGTGAGCATATCTGGTACTGAACTTTGCCTTATGACCTCTCATCTGGAGAGCACTAAAAATCACTCCAAGGAGCGTGTAAAGCAGCTGCAAATAGTGTTGAACGAAATGCAGAAGGAGCCAGAGTCCACCACTGTTATATTTGGTGGGGATACAAACCTCAGAGACCGCGAGGTAAATAGAAATAAACAACTTTGTTATTTAGAAAAGATGTTTTGACAAAACCTTCTCAGGCTTTTCTGTTGTCTTTATGAGAAATTACCAGCTTAGACAGAACAGCGGTATTCAACACTTAAAATGTGGAACTGTGACTAAGGTAGAAGCAAGTGTTGTTACAGCTGAGGTGATTTATATGGAGACCCCTTCCCAATTAGAGAAAATGCTTTCATAACAATATTTGTATCTGAGCAGATGCAGGTGGATTTGATGGAAGTTTTGACTTCAAAAACATCTCATCTTGAGAATGTGGTCTTTATTTGTTCAAGTCTCCAATTCTCACAGCTTGTAGAATCAATGAAGGAAGAGGGTGCTCTGGAGAAATAGATATTTATTCCCTGGGATCAAGACATTCAAAATTAGAAGCAGTTTTTGACTTCTGATACTAAAAGGGAAATTTGTGCATTATTACTAGAAGGTCAAAGTTTTAGCTCTCCCTATCATGAAATTCCATTGCAGTGAACTGGAGCAACACTGGTTTAGGGAACGTGGTGTTGGCCCCTACACCTCAGCATTTCAGAGCTGAACATTTATTTTGGAACATGTTTTGGATTTAGAAACTGCTACAGGAAATGGTCATGCTTTAGAGTATCTGGAGAAATACCATAGAAGCATCTCCAAGATCTTTGAATTTAACTACTTATGTTTTGCAGAAAAAAACCCAATGCTGTGACAACTCAGTTCTATTCTTTGAAGGTAGAATTTGTGAATTCACTATCTTGTGTAATTTTTTTCCTCCTTTTACCTTCAGGTTACTAAACTTGGTGACTTACCTGAGGGCATTAAGGATGTCTGGGAGTTCTTGGGTAAGCCTCAACATTGCCGCTACACTTGGGACACCCAGTCCAACACCAACCTGAATATAGCCTACAAGTGCAAGATGAGGTTTGACCGTCTTTACTTTCGGCCTGCAGTGGAAGGGGGGCATTTCGTTCCACGAAGCATGGACTTAATTGGTTTGGAAAAATTAGAATGTGGCAGATATCCTAGTGATCACTGGGGTATTCTGTGTAATTTTGATGTTATATTATAAAAGAGGAAAAAAATACCTCCATCGTTGGTGTTTAGATGATTTATTCTTGATTTTACAAAATTTTACCCTCTCAGTTTTAAGATAGGACATATTTAAGTTTTTAACCATAATACATTCCTAGTTCTCAGCTTCTGCAGGAACAGCTTCATTTCAAGCCAGGTTTCTCTTTTCCGGTTGTATGTATCTTTTCTTGAATCATGTTTTATAATATTTATTTTTAAAAATGTCTGCAAAACCAATCAAATTCTAGTTTTAAAATGGCAGGAAAAACCTGTAAGTACAATTCATAAACATACTCAGTGATTTTAAAGACTTTTATTTTGGCATGTGTTATGATCTCATAATAAAGGCTGCTTTTTTGTATTTTAAGACTACTTTTATTGTGCGTTCATTGTTTATTTTGTAACCATTCCCATCATCCTTTACAACCTTGTGTTTCAAAGGGCATTTTGTATTAGCTTCTGAAGTTCGTGTTGGGTGTACACGCCCCTGTGGGCAAGGCAGTAAAGGAGCTGAGTAAAGAATGACCAGATTCTCACAAAATAAGGATTTCTTAAGTAGAAACTGAACTACTGTTGAGCAGATTTAGGAACAATATGCCTTCTGTTTGGCAAGAAGAGTATATAGGCAGATGCACAGAAGTTGTTCAGTTGGGATGGTGTATACCTTACTTTGTCTTGTTAGCATGGGACATGTGTTTTATTGAGCTCCTAGGATCTCTTGCAAACTGCTGGGCAAAGCCTGAACAGCTCAAGGCCTTGCTGACTTTGCAGAAGGTCAGCCAGGCCTTCCTACTTTAAGAACTGTCTAATCAGTCTCATAGGAGCTGTTGTTTTATAGATGTGCAGTGCTGATTTAAAAGGGAAAGCCTGACTTCCTCATGTGAGGTTCAGTGCACAGACATGGAGAGGAAGGACAGATAACCTGTCAGTGAATGGACAGCCTACATTTTTTTACTTCTTTTTGTTGTCATTTGTCTTTGCTCTTGAGCCCAAAGCTTACAAACAGCTTGTACTTTGCTGCACTACTGTGGTGGCTTGGTTTGACCTGGTAGCCAGTCTGCCACCCAGCCACTGTCTCAGTCCCCTTCCCCAGTGAGGTGGGAGGAGGAAATCCGGAAAACAAAAGAAAAAGGAACAAGAAAGCTCATGGGTTGAGATAAAGACATTTCCCAATTACCCTCATGGGAAAAACAGACTTGGTTGGGGGAACTTAATTTGTTTTGGAAACACATGCAAGGAAGGAAGTTCCAGGAAGTTCAACTGGAACATGAAGAAAACTTCTTTACTATGCAGGTGGTTGAGCCCTGGATCAGGCTGCCTGGAGAGGAGGGCTGGAGTTTCCCTCACTGGGGATATTCAAAAGCCTTCTGGACACACTCATTATTATTGTGCTACAGTGGACTGACTGTGCTTGAGCCAGGAGGGTGCTGCTGGTGCTCACTTCCAACCTTACCCATTTTCACATTCTGTGACAGTAATTTACAGCCAGTAAAAGTGTTTGACCAGTCTTCCAGTAAAGATGTGCAGTCTAAACCTCTCCTGAGTAAGTCAATCAGCTCTTCCACTTGTCAAAGGAACAGGGAGGCCTGAGATAGGTGTGGTTTTCCTTTCATTCAGCAGGAGGCCCAGGTGACCTTACTAAACAAGCAAATAAAGCTCAGGATGTTAATTTATCTCCACAGAAATCAGCTGCAGAAGTCTCCTGCTCTGCTTTCACTTAACATTAAACAGCAAATTCTATTTATTAAAGGTGAAAGAGAACAGCCTTTGGGCTTCCTGTTGGGAAGGATGTCCAACCCTTGATTGCTTTCAACATATCCCATTATTTTATAATAACTCAGCTGCAAAAACAAGGAAGGAGAAATCACAGATACATTTTTATACTTCTGTTGAGCCCATAATCTCTCCTTTCTATTCCCAAATAAATAGTTCTGTAAGAAAGTGAAAAATAGGTACAACTGCCAGGATTTTCCAACTGTCAGGCCTTTCCTTCTGGGCTTAAAATGTGGCTGGCACAGTTCACACATTATGACTCGCTCCATGACGATCTTGTTCCTTACCAAGAGTCTTTGAAAGAAATGTCATGGGGTTTGTTGTCAGGGCTTACACCTCCTCCCCCTCCTTGATAGTTCCAGCCAAAGGATTTGTGGGGAAGGTGAAGGCAGTTTGACTTTTCTAACAGTGTTTGAGAAGTGAAAAGTACAATAAACTCGTGTTTTTTCATCACCAAAAAACACAGGATTATGTGGCCTTCTGTATTATGGCTACTTTTGTTTATGTGGCTGCACCTTCTGGAATATTTTGGAAGACATGAAAGAGGCTGGCTCCTGTTCTGGAATAGGTTTTTAAATCAGGAAAAAAAAGCAAGGGTGTATGGGCCAATTCATTTTTATAATTATGAACAGTAGGTAAGTGGAAGACTCAATTCAGTGCAATTAGTGGTTAGTCATTCTTTTAGAATGAGGAAATCATGCATACATCCTTTGAAAGCACTCTTGAGCTACAGAAGTGGTAATACTGTGTAAGAAGACATCAACACTAAATGTTTCACTGACTACTGAATGTGAAGCAATACATCTTTAATTAAATGTACTTTAAGCCACTTAATAAGCATCCAAATTGCTGACAATCAAGAGCAGTCAGAGCCTTTAAATTAATTTGCCTCTTAATTTAATCAGTGATGTAAAAGGTAAAATATCTGCTGAATACAGCAACTAAAACTTGAAGGGGTAGAAACAGCAAAGTTAAACCAAACAAAACATTTATTGGCCTGCAATTTGTAATTTGATTTACTTTCTTGATTCAGTAGCATCATATTATGGGATCTGTACAGCCCAAAGGATTTATACAAATGTAAATGTGAGAAAATTAATAATCGACAGTAACCTGAACTTGTGGAAATCTTGTATAATTGGAGGCATTTGATCCAGTTATTGATCCAGTTATTGGGAAGCAATTTCTTCTGAGAGTCCAGCCAGTCTTAAACACTCCTACATCAAAAGAGCTTGAACTTATTAAAAGAGAAATGATATACCTAGAATTAAATAAAGAAATGTTAAACATATAAGGAGTTAAATAATAAATAGATGGATTTAAAAACAAACAAACAAAAAAAGAGGGTGAAATAGCAGGTAAATTTCCCAGGGTTTTGTTCACTAAGAGTATAATAAGTATTCATTAATAAAGATGCATAGATTTCATCTTTTTATTTCTTGGAGGCAAAGCTGCTTGTGTAACATCAGCTCAGAGGAAAGAGACTCAGGGACAGATAGGCCTTCAGTGTAACTGAAGACAGGTCTTCAGTTTGGTAGCCAAACCTGTGCATGTTCCACACCTCCAAGCAGATGGCTGGCTGTGAGCAAAGCAGATAAGCAGGGGAGAGCAGGGTTCAGGGTGCCCAGAGGGCTGCACCAGCCCCCTGCCATGGGAGAAACCTCTCACTAACGCTGTGCCTCGAGTCAGGGCTTCCCTGCCACCAAGTGGGTGGCAGAAAGGCCATTTGATGTTGATGGGATGGGTGCTTGCAGATCTCCTAACTACCCCTGGATGTCTGGCAGTGAGTTACCTGTCCTGGTTGATGGCAGCTTCACAGGGCTTTTGTCTGCCCAACTGAGTGCACCTACTGTGGAAAGGAGCTGGAGGTGAATCAACATTCATCTAGTATGTTCTAGCTATATTTTAAAGCTTCCACGTCTTCAGATAGCTTACATCACACTCAGCCTATTATTTCATCAGTGTTAAACCTATTAGTTCACTAGTGTTATGAAAAGCAAGAACTGGCTAAGCAGGAAAATACCATGTTAGCCTCTGCCCTCTGCAGTAATCTGCTTTCTCGGTCTGCTCCTCATTTTTGTAGCATTTCTGGAGTTCACAGGCAGTGAATGGGCAACAAGAGCTGCTTGCTGGGGTTCTTGGTTGGGAGCTGTTTGCTCTGATACCTTTGTGTTTGCGTGGGACTGGCTGTATCCTGTTTGTTCAATGGAGAAGGAAAGTCTGCTTGTGACAAAGCCAAGAAGGCTGGACCAGCTACTGCTGTGCAGAGAAAGCAAAGAGGGGCATTTGCTGCTTTCTTCCTTTCCCCTACTTTCACTAAGATGGTGGGAGAAACCTCCTGGCATGACAAGAAGAGGGCTTATCTCCCTCAGCCTGCACTGCAGCAAGGAGCTTTGCATACTTGCACAGATGGTTCAAAAAGCTCTAGCTTTGAGTATCCAAGTGAGTATTTTTTCCTGCAGAAGAATCTGAAGCTATATCTGGTGCTTTTCCAGTCAGTAAAATTAGGAACTCACAAGCATGCAAAGCATTAGAGGACAATCATCTTCCCCCACTGGCTCTGTAAATCAATCCTGGGTGCCAACAGGAAGGCTGCAAGGCATGAGAAATGGGGCTGCCTTGCTAAGGACAGATAGCCAGGCTTCCTCTCTCTACACACACTTCCTTTTTAAAACTGACCAGTCTCAGTCAACATCAAAAAATACACAGCGTTCTCACTGATCTTTCTTTGTGTTATTATTAGAACAATTATTTTTATATCAAATAAGCAGGCTTCAGCCTCCCCAACTGTGGCCTAAACGTGGAAATCACAGAAACTGAGGAATCAAAACTGAAATAACAACAGAGGATGAAAAATATTTAAAATGCAGTCAGACAATTTCAGAATTACAGTTCAGAGATTAATATTCTCCCTTTACAGAGCTTGCACCAAGGGAGATTTGACTACATTCAGGAAAAGTCATACAGCCCACTGTTAAAAAAATTGGTAAGGTGGGAATTAGAGGAGAAGTAAAAAGACAAGGCAAAGCAGTTGTATACTGAAGAGATGACATTTCTCTTTGCCCTTTTGACTAGTAATGAGAATCACCCCCATATTGCCTCAAAGCTAAATTAGTCCAGCACTGCAGAGAAGCTTGTGGTTATCCTTTCATGATAACAAAGCTTATCTCATGGGCCATGAGCCAGAAAAGAGCCAGGGAGAAAACTTTTCACTGGAGCAAAAATTCCATTTAATCTCAGCAGCTTTCACTTCTTCACTGGCTCCTAGTGGTAATACTAAGGTGGAAATAAATTCTATGTTCCACACATCTCTTCATCTAACTCCTGCAACTTTAGTACAGAGTTTCCACAACTAAAGTATAAGTGATTGTGTGTGTTTGCTTTTACTTTTGTGGAAAATCCTGTTTTATTGACACCTGGGGATGCCTATAAGCAGAGGGAAAGAGTCAGTTCCAGGAAAACTTGGGAAGTAGGTTTTGGAGCAGAGTTGGGAAAATTCCCTTCTGTAAGGAACAGATTATAACTTACCACTGCAAGGCTGTCACCTTTCTGGTGTTTAGAGAGTGGAGGAACCAGTATTTTAATATATCCTTATTTTG